CACCAGTTAGGTCTCATATTAATCTCTGTGACTTTCAAGTCAGATGTCAGGAGAGCCACCTTTGGATATTTATTGATGAATGATAATTTCATCAGTGTCCATGTTTATCAGTGAAAATTTCTCAAGTGTGTATGTTCATGTGTAAGTAGAAAGAGGAATTTTTTAATTGCTGGTAGTGTAATTTTTATGTGAAGGTAGGTAAATTTTAAGGATTTTTTTTCCTCCCTGATAAATAGAAAAATGTTAGTTCTTTCTCTTCCTGATAATATTTTAAAAGGGACGAATGAACATAAACATTCATTTATTCAACAAATGTTTAGTGATGATCTATCAAGTCTCTCCAGCGAGTCCAGCCCTGAGGCAAAATAAATAAGTGCTCTTTCCAATTCCATAAGTGGACAAAGAGTTGTCAAAGATAAGGGAATATAAAGCCAATACCACAAAACAGAAGCAACTCCAGCCCAGGAAAACCGAACCCCATTTTGTTTCCCCAGATTTCCACTCAAAACTATGTGATTCAACGTTTTCCAGAAAATAAAGATAAAATCAGAGCAAGAAAACAATTCCATTGTCCTCTTTTTTCAATATACTAAGAAATTAGAGCTTGATCTAACCTTGGATTCTAGTCTCCCCTCAATCACGCAGAAAGGAAAATGAAGCCAGATAATATATTAGTGAAGAGGACATAGTAAATAACTTGAGAAATGCTGCCAGTTGCATTAGCAAAAGAGAACTTTAGTGAACTAATTATAGAATCTATCATTACTGTTTTTTATCTTTTCCACTTTAGAAAACAAGAGGGGAAAATCATTCTTAGCTAGATATGATGGTATATGACTGAAGCGCGAGGATTACACTCTTGAGGTTTGCCTGGTATGTCTGAAAAAGTAGAATCCTCACACATGGATTAATTTACACCTTGCTTAAATTTCCACAATAAATCCTAAGAATCAAGGTGCAAATGTTCTAATAAGGTATGAGGTGCTCCCTCTGATCTGGCTCTTCCTCCTTTCCAGTTTTTGATCATGGTTCACACTTTGTTTTGGTTTGGTTTGGTTTGTGGGTTGTTTTACTTTGGGGTTTTGTTTTGTTAGTATTTGGGTTTTGTTGCTGTCATTGTTCTTTCTAGAATTTATTGAACTTTTGTCAAACAACAGTTGTGAGTGTGGTGTGCTTGTGTATATGCATGTTCAAATATGTGTGGGCACACCTGTGTGCATGTGCATATGGAGGCCAGAGATAGACGTTCGGTGTCTTCCTCAGTTTCTCTCCGCTCTACTTACTGAGGTAAGGTCCCTTACTGAACCTGGTCAAATTCACCAATTTGACCAGTATAGTTAACCAGCTTACCCCTGAAAGCTCCTGTCTCCACCTCCTGAGCACTACATGTGGAAGGCCACATTTGTACAGCTTTTGTATGGGTGCCAGAGATTCAAACTCTGGTCCTCACACATGCAGGGCAAGCCTTATATCTACTGAGCCATCTTCCAAGTTCCCTCTTTTTACTTATGTATTTGGGTGGTAATTGAGCAGGATGAGGGGGACATATTGCTGGTGATGGTGGTGATAGTGGTGGTGAAGGGGTGGTGATGATAGTGATGCTGATAATGGTGTTTTTCAATCAATTTTCAGCAAGACAGAGCTGTTTCATAGAACTAACTCTTATCCTTCCTCACAAGCCAGCCTGCACTTAGCAGGCTCTTCTTCCTCTACTTGCTGTCCATCTGCTTCTTCACCTTTTATCCTCCAGTAAGACTAAGACAGGATTATTTTCTTGGATATCCTCCTTTCTGACTTCATCTTGGTGCTAAATTTTCAAGCTATTTGATCGTTATATGGCTGTGTGTCATACTAATTTCCCTATCAGAGTGGCTCAATCTGGCCCATGGTGGGTACTCAAGAGGTTGTGAATCAATGTGTGAATGAATGAATGACTGAATGGATATACATGGAAGGAAAGTAAGCAGCCAAGTCATGACTTAACGGACTTAAAAGTGACTTTAAAGACCTTTCTAATTACCTTATTGACCACTTTTAGAAAACCTATGAATGGAAAGAAAGGTACATTTTGGCCTACAGGGACACTTACTTTGAAACTTTTTTTCCTTTTTCAATATTTTATTTTTATGTGTATGAGTGTACTGACTGCATGTGTGTAAGAGCACCCATGTTGTGCAATGCCTACGGAGGTTAGAAGAGGGTGTTGGATCCCCTGGAACTAGAGTTGTACACAGTTATTAGCTGCCACGTGGGTGCTGGGAATCAAACCCAGGTCCTCTGAGAGAGCAGCTGGTGCTCTGCTGAGCCATCTCTCCAGTCCCAAACTTTGAAACTTCTTAACTGAGCAAAATAAAGCAAGAACTTAAGAAGCTAATGTGTGTGCACACACATGCATACATACTCATAGTGTGTGACAACCTCAGTAGTTGAGTTACCAGCAGACGTTCTCAATCTCCTACCACAACATCTTCCAAGTTCTTAATGGAAGAAGAGGGTGAATTCATCTCTGGAATGCCACGATTTCAGAATACCTTTAATGTTTTCAGTTTTATCTTTTAAACTCATGTAAATTTATCATTCTTTCTGTACAAATCACTTATCACTTAAATGACTCAGCTTCCTAGTTCATAATACACACACCTCACGTAGCTGATATTCAGGTGCCCCATGTTTATCAGAGGTTTTATTTATTTATACCGTCTTCCAACTCCCTCAGAGATACCTCCTTAAATGTACGGAGATACATATGTTTCTAAAAGCCAAGTATTGGTCATAAGTCATGAAAATAATCCTAAATAAAATAGGAGATAAAAAAATAAAGAGAAAGGGTTTGATCCTCAACATGAAATATCATTTAAAAAGCATATTTGTATAAGTAGTGTCTCTATAATTAGTTCTACCACCACCATGCCCATTTCCTAGAGCATCCAGTGACTCCTATGAGAGATGGCCTGTCATTTATTTTTCCCATCTTCTAGTGACTTCAAGAATTTCTTCAGTGTTTTGAAGTTTTCACTGTAGAGCCTTTGTTCCATCTTGGTTGGGTTTATTCCTAGATATATATGTATTATGCATATACTTTATTTGTTTTATTTATTTATTTATTTATAAGCTTTTAGGGATGGAATTTTTCCTGATTTCTTCCTTGGTAAGAAATTATTAGTATATATGGAAGCTACAAATTTGTATAGTTTTATTCTATATCCTGCTTCTTTGCTACAAGTGTTTATCAGATCAAAGCGTTTTCTAGAGGAGTCTTTGGGGTCGTCTAAGAATAGGATCGTCTTCAAATAAGGGTAATTTGAGTTTTTCCTATCCTATTTTCCCTTTTATTTTTCCCGATCTATTGCTCTAGCTAAGATTTCAAGCACTGCATTGAATAAGAGTGGAGAGGAGTCATCCTTTGCTCCTCCACTTAGGAGATAATTACATACCAATCAGCCCAATCTATGTTAAAAACATAGAGGGTTAACAGCGCCATTTGATACCTCTAACTACTGAAGATTCTAGCTTAGCCACATAGTATGCTACAGAGTACTGGTTGCCACTGGGATCATCAAGTGGCTGACAGATTTGTGGTTTACCACCGCTGTTCAGCATCACAGTCCAGGAAAAAAAAAGTCAAACTCAAAGTGTGATTTCTATTAAATATGTGTGAGGTGAATACTTTTGTATCATCATAAAGTCAAAAATATTATAAGTTAAGCAATCATAAGTTAGAGACCTGAATTTTCAGAGTCCTTAAGAAAGAAAAAAAAAATCTCTAGGCCCTAGGTCATTTCTATCTTAACATTATCTAATTCAAAAGAATTAGATTTAGATATTTTTGCATGTATATAAAAACACATTCAATACAGATTCTTTAGAGTAGAAAAAATCCTTAGAGACTTACATATCTATCCATAAATTACTGATTAAAATTTGCAGCCCATCTGGACAATGGCATGCCATACAGGATATCATGGGCTGTCAGATAAAGAGGTAGATTATTGCTACATGTTCATGCATTACAAGAGCGCCCAGATATGTGGTTGGAACCAGAGGGCACAGCATGGAAGAGCCATAATTACTGCTGAAAAGAGAAAGGGGGATAGAATAAATAATGTATGATGTATGGAAGGTCTCTTAAAAACAGCCCAGAGGTTGCCTCTGGCAAAGGGTAGAAGTTAGAAGACGGAGATTTGCTTATATTAGCTACATTCTTGTATTGCTTAAGTTTTTCACCATATCTATTAACTTTTTTAAAAATAAACCATGTGTGTTTATATATACAAAGCAAAAGCTACCCAGAGGAAGTACAGGCAAAAGAAAAGAGGAAGGGCGAAGCCTGGCTGGTTCTACCCACCTGATTCCTGGCTTCCTGTGTCATAACCCAGCAGCCTTAGGTTTCTGTGATTTCCCACTCTGAGTAACCCTGGGCCTAATTTGAAAAGGAGGAACTTCAAAGACTGGGGAAGATGTGGGAAAGAGCCCTGCCAGACAGACAGTTGCTTCTGCACAGTATTCACTAGACCCTTGTCTTTAGGAATTATTGTACTTTGGGCAAATCTGAGCAATAACTGTAAAAAAATAAAATAAAATAA